TTTTTTTATTCTATCTGTTTGTATTGGTGAGTATGAGATTCTGATTCCTATTCTTGACAAAATGGCATTCCCTATTTAGAGAATGGCCATTCTGACCTTCCCCCAAGACAAATGAGTTAACCCCCGCCCCTCCCAAACCCCTATCCCTCTCTCCCTCCACCTCAGTTGGTTTCCGNGGGGGGGGAATAGGCAATTTCAGTTCCAATTCCTTTTTCAACCACACTATAAAGGTATGAAACATATGCTCCAATGGGTTGCGCGTATGATTCAATATATAGCCTCAAATCAGCTTCAAATGAATTGAATGATTCAAAAAATCCAATTTTCAACCAACCATAGTGGAGCCCAATGTTTCCCACCACATTAGAAATCTTTTCAACTTTCTATCCAAAACCATCAAGCAAAATTTCAGACAGAAGTGAATCTATCAAAGATGTAACTAGAATGAGAAAAGGGGATCACCCACTTAGCTAATTGGTTTTAATTACAAGGATGCAATTAATTGCCTGAAGCTATTTAATTAGATACATTAAAAAAAAATACCTAACTTGGTACCTTATTATAAGCTTTAGATTGGATTTGGGTTAGAATAACTTATTAGAAGTTCAGCTCTTCGGTCAACCTAGCCCAGATAATAGCTAGATAAGCATAACATCACCATCTTCCTTTTCATAAAACCAGTACTATTTTGCATTTTTATAATAAAACATAAGCATAATCACATGCAAACCCAAAGAATATACACTAACAGGGTAATAGAAGAAATTAACATATAATAACAAATAATTCTAATCTGACGCTTGTTTGTATAATTTAATAACAATCTTGACTCCAATCCATTATTTTTCTTTAACCCAGCCTAAGAAAAGAGGTTCCTGCGAATCTGAAGCAGGTTCTAGGTCTATTTCAGCACCAACCCTTCTGAAAAAACTAGCCTTGTTTCACCTGGGGGCCACTAGTTTGTTGGGTTGAGAGTTAAAACTTTACTCCATGAAAAGATATATACATATATGATTATTACGAGAAGTCCCTTTTGGGTCTCTTGTTGAAGATTCTTGACATAATGAGATGTTAAAGAGATCTTTGGCAGTTTCATTTTTTTCTCACTCAACCTCTACTACATCGCTCGGGGAAAAAATATTACAATAAATGTACGACAAGAGCTAAAGTGGATTAAACTATAAGAGTAGACATGTTTTGACTAGCGATGCAAACGGATTGGATTGTATTTGAATCAAGGTATATTTGAATCTAATATGATATTATTTACGTCGGATTCGATCCAATCCAAAGATTTAATCAAATATGATAGGACTCGATCTGAATTCGAATCCTGTCGAATTTTCGGATCTTCAGATCTGATATGATCTGACTTGTTTTCTTTAAAGATTAATAAATTATTAAAAGAAAAAATAAAATATACTAATTTAAATTAAAAAAAAACAAAAAAATACAATTATTTTTTAATTACTCATCATATATATATATATGATTTTTATAAAAATAAATAAATAATATAATAAATTTATAAAAATACAATATAAATAATATATTTTATAAATAAATAAATAGCATATATATTATATATATATATATATATATATATATTTATAAATATATAACACATCAAATTGAATCTTTTCTCGGATCAGATAGAGAATGATCCCAATTCGACCAAATAAGATCGACCTTAGATCTTTGCACCCTTAGATTTTACCAATCTCTCTCTTAGTACAAACAAAATGGTCCATTTTTATTCATTTATATTATGACTGCAGATTATCTTCTATTTGATAATCTCTTCTGGGGTACCCAGTAAACAGTCTGATTAAATTGGCTTCATGCGAGAGAAGACTTGAGTGAAAATAGTAGTTGACTTCAGAAACCTCCACTAAATATATAGAGAATCTTTCATGACCATTTATGCATGTTTGTATTTATATGTGTGCATGCATGCTTGTATTCAATGGGCATTTTTAACTGGTCACAATTAACATTCCTCCAAGGAAAAGATATGATACAAGTATATGAATTTCAACCCCTTCAAAAGGAGAGAAATTAAAAATTTAAAACCATAATAAACAATGAATTGACATGTAATTTTTAGCAGGTATAATACTTTTTCCGGAGCTATGATATGATGTTTATATTTCTTTATAATCCCTTTTGTCATCATATTATTGGATGCTGTGTATTTTCGTGCAATTGCAGGGAGCCTCACTAGTGAAATAAATATATATCCTAAAGCATCTTGTGCTTTATCGGATGGAAACTGTTTTCTTTAAGCTGATTCCTTTTATCATCAAAAAGATTACATTTCATTTGATAACAATGACCTTATAAAATCCAGCAAAGAAGACTAGGTCATTGTTTTAGGAGAGATCACTTTAACTGTTTGAAAAAAAAACAGCTCGGACTGTTTTTGGGGCCTCTACATATGACATCTTAGCTAATTCAGATCTTAATTTGTCTTTTCAATTAAAAAAGTGTCGTGTATAAATATTATTTTATCTACACTTGTTATGAGATATCATTTATGCTTCTAAAATAATCCAAGTTGTTTTTTTTTTCTAACAAACAGCCAAATTTTTTTCTGATTTACAATGCAAAACAATCAAAACGGCAAGCCAGCTCATGAGCTGCCTTGTTCCATAAACGAGATATATAAAACCTTTTATGTTGAGTTCACACAAAAAAGGGATAAAATATAGAATGCAATTCTCAAAGGACTACTGTTCAACCTAAGAGCTTAATCTGTTAGGCAAGGTCTCTAAATAGGTTTTATTCTTTAACATGCCTCTCCAAACAAAAGCCCTATTGGGCTTAAAGTGCAGATAAGTGCAGCTCATCCATACATTGTGCTGAAACTTAATTAATTAACAATCTATAGATTGTGATAAATTTTAGGGTAAATTGTTAAAACCTCCCCGGAATTTTCTGGTTGTTGCTGAAACCTCCCTCGAAGTTTGATAATTGTAATCGCCTCCCCTTAACTTTCTGACATAGTTGCAAGTAGACCCCCTTTGATAGAATTTTCTTAAAAAAGCCATTAGCAAAATGCCCATGCAATTACTTTTGACAAAAATGTTTATTTTCCAAATCTTCTCTTCGTATAAATCACTACCCCGAACCCTCCCAATCTCTTTTTTGAAATTGATTTATCTTCCAAACTTGCCCTTCATATCAATCACTCAAAGGTAAAGCTACTACTTTAAATTCTCTTTGTTTTTGTCATTCATAAAGTCTGTATGTTTTCACCATAGAAACCAGTCTCAATAGTAATTGCATGGATATCTTGAACATTTTATGCCTTTTTATTTTAAGAAGATTCTACCAAAGGGGATCTACTTGCAATTGTATTAAAAAGTTCAGGGGAGGTGATTACAATTACTAAACTTCAAGAGAGATTTCAGCAAGGGTTTATTTATTATACAGACTTTGGATGGAATAGCTAGATTTTAATTATGTTTTTGCCCTCAAAATTTATTTTGATACAAACAAAATTTAAACCCCAAACCTAAGGGCCTATTTGGTAGGGTTGAAGTTTTGGTTGAGTTTCTTTGAGACTTGAACCAATTATTTTGTCTTTCCGGATTCTTTTGCCAAACATTGTTTATAGACAATATTGTTAGCCAAAATCGAGAATCATGGTGTTTCGGTGGCCTCATAAGAGATCATTTCTTTTGATTCAAGGTATGGTCATAGGTAAGAGTAAATTCGAGGGAGTGATGTAGCAAATGAACCTATATATTAAAGTTCAAGTTCAACTCGAAACTCGATTTAGACCGATTTGAATCAAACTTTTCACGAACGTAGTTCTCGTGGTCATAACAATAAATTAAAGGCTTTGAGATGGTTGGTCTGGTCCACCTTGAGCTAAGTATCTGGTCACGGTATCTTTGTATATATGCATGCTTATTAGTATATATATATATTAGTATAAAGCGTAAAGGACGATCTTTGTCGGAAGATAGGGACTGCTTGAATAAGCTTTGGCTTTTCACGTTGGACAGCCAGCAGGGCTTTCCATACGTGTCATGCAGGGAGAGCCCTGTTGACATCCCTGCAGGCTGCTGAATTTAGACTGCTACATGGCAAAATTATATTACAGAGTAGTATGATGGAAGTTGATGTCGTTTTCCTGTTTGGACCATTATATTCTATTCAATGATCCTGTCAAATTGAACTTTTGGGTTTGGGTCCTATTCAACCCAGCCATCCATCCATCTCTGGTCCAGCTTTCGGATCATTGATTCAACCAACAACCATCCTCAACCCCTTTGGAGTGTCCTTCTAACTGTGTTTTATTAGTTTCTTCACTTCACTGGTGGAAAGTTGGAGAAGTGCTGGTTGAAACCCTTCTATAACCAAGAAAAATCTGGGTTTCTTGCCAGATTCTTCCACAGCTCCACAGAATATGTTAACTTTGTTTGGTCAGAAAACCACAGTAGCCAACTGGTGATAAGGTGTGCCCCTTAAGTAGGTAGAAGAAAAGCTAGAAGCAACAAGAATTTTCCATGTTACATTTGGTATAGGTGGGTCAAGACTCAAAACCATCACACAAATGACATGGAAAATACCAAGAAATGAGGTTGTGTGTGTGTGGAGGAGGGTGGGGAGGGAAGGGAATGTGGAAATTGGACTACTTGGTGTTTTTAGTAAATTTTTGGTGCCATGACTAATTAATTGATTGGATTTTCAAATAGTTGATTGGTCCATTCAAATAATTAAATGTTCAATAATCACATGGATATCTTGGAACCCAGATGCCGTGAAGCTTTGGAAAGGTATTCTGTAGGCTTCCAGGGTCCATCACAGAAAACTCTGCCAACCCCACCTGTTCCACAGTTCAAATCAACGGTTCCAAGTCATCATAGGAGACCCATATACATTTCTTCAAGGAAACTCTTTCACAAGAGTCTGAACTCTCAACCACTCTTGTGCTATATATATACAAACACATAGCATGAGAACTCATCAGCTCACGTCCAAGTGATTCATTAATTTCTAGCTCTCAACTCTCAACTCTCCCTTCTGTAATTTGCATACAAAGCTTAGCTAAAGGGAAAGATGTATTATCATCAGATTCAACTATCACCTTGCATTTCCGTCCGTCCTTCCTTGATGCTTAAGCCAAGGATGGTCCAGACCAGGTAAGTGGATGCTGCTTTTGAGCTCCAGTAGTTTCATAAATTATGCATACATCACTGATCACTGATCAGTAGAAGACAGCAGCTCTTTATTGATTAATTGATGGATGATGATTTCATTGTAGTGGGGAGGTCGTCAAGACGGAGAGGAGAAGAGTCGGTATGTGCATGGCAAAGCATTCTTCAATCTTCACCCACCAGAAATTGAACATTGAGTGATCTCTTGAGTTGGTTTTTCATTTATTTTCTTAGGGATCTTTTGTCTTTTTAAAGAAATGATGAACAGTGCAATGCAATTGCAGATCATTGCACAAGGGTCCCCCGTAACGTAAATTTGGAGAAGCTCAGAAATGGGTATCTGTTTCCTGAGGTCTGTGACTAGATTCAAGCTTTTTTTTTTTTTTTACTCCCATATTTCTTTGTTGGATTGAAGAATCCAAGCTTTTTATTGGTTTGATCTTATTCTTTCTCTTCATCTATGCTGTTTGTGTTTATTTTTAATTAACTTCTGGAATTTGAAGCTTTCTTCTGTAGCTATGTGCCCTGATGCAGGTTCTAGGGATAAGAGAAATCTGAGGTGCAATCAACAAGCCAATCTACTTACTAGGAAATTTCTTCAAATCAAGCCTGAAATCAATTTTGTGTCTCACCGACCATGGAAAAAAAAAATGAACCCCATGCCTAGCTTAGTTAAAACTTAAAAAGATTTTAATAATTCCAGTCAGTTTGACTTCATTTGGACTAGCTAGGCTCATCATTTTGTTAACAAATCAGCATATAAATTATAAAATCAAACTTTGCACATTTTACTTTTACAAATAATCAGTGATGCAAAAAAATCTTTTTTTCAGTAAATTGTCTAATATGCCAATAATATAAATATTCAACAATATTGGGATAAAAATATATTTGGGTTCTCTTATGTATCATAAGTGTAATTGTGTGTCTACACCCCTTTAGAAAGAAAACCTGTTTTTTTGTAGTGTACCTTTAGGATTTATCATGAACTATAAGGTCCAGAGTCTTGTATTTTTGAAAAATTGGCCAGAAAATGGGTTTTGAACTAGTTCAATGCACGCACAGATTAATAAGAATGGAGCTGCAACAAGAAGATAGGAATATTGATTAAAAAACAGCCAAGAGGTATCCTAAGAATATTGCAGCATTAATGAAGATGGATTCTCTTTCATTTCTTTCAGTCAATCCCAAACCAGAAGTTTTGTGTTTTGTCTATGAAACTTTGTTGACTGGAATGAAGAGTAAGTCATATAATATAAAGCACCATGAAGCATTTAACTTTTGCATCCTGATTTCTCAAGTACAACTTTGGCCATCCAATTTAATAATTAGGGTTTCTCTTCAATATTTTGGCTTTTAAGTGGTGCATTAGATACTATCTAAAATTTTTATTCTAATAATTAATTATTCTCATATATTTATTCTAAAATTTTCTTAAGTAATGAAATAACACATTAAGTGTCATTTTCGTAATATTTTTCCATCTCTAATGAACATTTTTAGATTCTGGAACTCTAGTATTTTTCTTAACTTTTTATAGTGGATAATGAGGATATAGTGGAAAAGTTTTCAATAAATGTTATAGAGCACTTAATTAATGTATATATATGTATGTATGTATATATATGTATGTATGCATGTATATATAGTGTATTTCTAATTACAATTATTTTACTGGGCACTATTTTCAATTTAAAAGATATTAATACCACTATTTCCAATTAAAATAACAAAGGCACTTTAGCCATAAAAGGATCATAAAAGCAATATTCTTTTTATGGGTGAGAAAGCAAATAAGATAAAATAGAGTGAGTTTTGAAAACATTAGGTCCAAAATTATTATGCAAAAAATGTAAAATTCGAAATAAGTTAATGTTTTTTCTACTTTTATAAGCCATATGCCTATAGATGTACATAATTGAAAAAGGATGAAGAAGTCATTGATTACTAGCATTTCATTGCATAAGTATCTTGGTAAAAGAAGGGAATGGTAGTCTGAAGAAAAAAGGCAACAAACATAAATTAAGGGTGATTTTGTCAATGCATGATGGTTTCATTTTAGTAGTTTTAAAGTTTTGAATAGATGAGCAAAAGGTTGGCTTTCAAAGTAATCTTTTTATTGCCCTGATAAATATAGGGGTTTTTATTGATTCCTCGACCTCATAAATTTTTATAAGTCTGTACAGCTGGAAATAATAACAAGTGTGTATAGGTGGGGTTTGAGAAAATAAAAACCGATAAAAATTTATGAGGGGATCAAACTATAAATTTCCCATAGAAGTAAAATTAGATTTATTTGAATTGTGTAAATGGTTTAAGATATAAAGCATTGTGCATATTTAGTCATTATCTCTCCTTAGCCTTGTGGTAGTTAAGATTAAAAGAGGAGAAAATTGACATATAGGATAGGGCGAGTCAACCTAGAAACTTACACCCAACCCTATCACACCAAGCTTTCAATTTGTATCTTGAGCCCCGATTCAGTTCTAGATCTATGAGAAAAAATAGAATGAGATGATTTGGTAACATGCATAAAAGACCATCTACATCATTTGTTAGAAAGAATAATCTGTCACACATTGAAGAAGTTAAAAAACTAAGGGGCAGACCAAAAAGGGCTTGCCTGGAAATAATAAGAAATGATTTAAGCATGCCTATAATGGATATGTCACTGAATAGAAGGGAATGGTGAAATAGGATTCATGCAGCCAAGCCCATATAATTTGGAGAAGGCATAGATGATGATGATGATTATTATAAGATGTCTAAAATTATAAATCTATAGGGTATGCATATGATATTTTGAGAAGAGGGCAAAAGAATTACTAAATGTATTGTCAAATTACCAGGTTAAAGGCTTCTTAGTTATAATCTCGGGCCTAGCACCCATAGGGCCGGAACCAGGACTAAGCTTTTTATTATGGATAAGCGACTGGGTCTACCCTGATCCGGCCCAGACCTGATCAATTGGCAGCCCAAAATACATAAGGGGCGAGGTTAAGAAAGGGACACTGAATGGTAGTTAGAATGTCTAAAAGGATTTGTTTCCCAAAAGTTCATCAAGACTAGAACTGGCGTTTATTACCCTGTCTGATTTTGTCCGGTGGCCTTTGGGCCTTTGGCCCCATCTTGCTTGGCAGTAGTCTTTCAGGGATGACCTTAGCCTTAAACATATCAGTCAAAAATTCTAAGCCAATTTCGGGCCTTCAGATCTCAATTTCTTGCTCCAGTTCGGTCAGCCTACATTAAACACTTCATTACAAACTTTAGAGTTTAGGGCTTGAGATATTGATTGTTGAGGTTTTGGGGTCAATCAATGCATTAATATAGGCCCAGTTGACCACTCAGTCTTTAATGGTGGCGTAGCACTAAACCCACATTGGCCCATTGCTATATTATGATCAGTTCGGTCCAAGTCTAGCCCAGTTTGTGCATGGCTACATGCTAGCTCCCAGAAATGGGTTTTCATCTTTCCTCTCAAATTCCTTATCAACTGTTTGAACTTTGAAACCATTTAAATAGATCTTTCTTGCCAATTCTCTTTGTATGAAATTGAAAACAGATTGGTATGCGTGAAAATGAACACCTTCAGAAATATCCTTATGCAAAGTTGATAAGCCTTGGAATTGGTGATACCACTGAGCCGATACCCGACATCATCACATCCAACATGGTTGAGGTAAGAAACTAAGAACCATGCTTTGGGTCCCTTTTTCTCTTCAGCCAACTAAATGCTAATATGATTAATTTTTTTTTTTCTATTTAAAGAAGACCCTAGTGGAAAACTAAGCCAAAGAGATGGACTCATGAACCACTCCATTGGCTGAGTTGGAGTTACATAGACAAGTATACAAGACAAAAGACTTGAGTTCAGACGGCACTGGTGGAGTTCACAGGCTGACTCCATGGAAATTCCTTTAAGAGAGAATCCCAAACCTTATTAATTATAATCATTTGCTACCCATCAGTTTCTATTATAATATAATGGCATTAGAAACTAGTTAAATTGGTTATTGGCTTGGGATCATTATAAGGTCTAGTCGTTGCAAATAACTATTTATTAGGTGACATTTCTCTTTGTTTTTTCCCAGTATAAAATATATTGAATTAAGTTAATTATTGTACTATAACTAAGCATAAAATCCATCAAATTGAAAACTTCATAATTTAATAAAACCCATCAAGACAGTGGAATTTGGCCACCTCGTTTTCATTGGTCCCAAACTAATTTGGAATCTCATTTATCCAACCCCATTTAGGGCTTGACTTTATTTATTATTTTTCTTTTGTTTTGTTTATTTATGTGTGTGTGTGGGGGGGGGGAGTCTTGCTAATTAAATTTAATAGAGTATTTCAATAAAGCTTGTTGAGTTGGATTGACTTGAGTTCAGACAGCACAAGTGGGGTTACAGGCTGACTTCATGGAAATTCCTTTGAGAGTGAATTCCAAACCTTGTCAATTATCAGCATTTACTACCCATCAGTTTCTATTATAATGTAATGGCATTAGAAACTTGTTAAATCGGTTATTGGCTTGGGATCATTATTTTATAAGGCCTAGTGGTTGCCAACAATTGTTTATAACGATTCCTAAACCTCCACATTTTGTATAACTAGGGTGGGATTAGGTGACATTTCTCTTTTTTTTTTATACTGAATTAAGTTAATTATTATACTATAACTAAACATATAGTCTCACAAATTAAAAACTTCAGAATTTAATGAAAGACAACCAAACAATGGAATTTGGGCACCTCATTTTCATTGGTCCCAAACTAATTTGAAATCTCATAAAAATATGATGAAATTAAAACCTATGGACACAATCATCTTGTGATGATTCTAATAGTATAAAATAAGAAGTAGAATGGTGGGACAGATTTCGTTTAGCCAACCCCATTTAAGGCTTGATTTTGTTCACTTCTTTTTCTTTCGTTTTGTTTATTTATTTCTTTGTGGGGTGGGGGAAGGAGTCTGCTAATTAAATTGAATATATTATCTAAATAATGCTTGTTGAGTTGGATTGACCACTATTAATTTTCTAATATATCTATATTATTCTTTATTTTTTTAATCAAATAATAAGTATTATCTATTTATGAATAACAATAGATACCAAAAAAAAAAGTATCAATTTGTTAGTGAACCCAATTCAAGGAAACCTTATCCTAACCATATGGCCCTAATGCTGTGTTTGGTTGCAGTGCAAATTTATTTGCACTAGTATAAATATATAGGAGTGCAAATGTAAAAAATGCAAATTCTTGTTTAATTTTGTTTTATTCTACTTTATGTCTTAATTTATTTCATTTGTATTACAATCAAACAAAACAGAAATAGGTCAGAATTTACACTCAAATCATTTGTACTGCCATAATTTTGCATCAGTACAAATTTATTTGCATTGCAACCAAACACAACCTAAAGTTCTTGTTTAATTTTGTTTTATTCTGCTTTATGTCTTAATTTATTTCATTTGTATTACAATCAAACAAAATAAGCTAAAATTTGAAACAAAAKGTTAGAATTTACACTYAAATCATTTGTACTGCCATAATTTTGCATCAGTACAAATTTATTTGCATTGCAACCAAACACAACCTAAAGTTCGGCTCAAAACTTTCATTTTTTTAAGAGAGAGAAAATAGGAAAAAACACGCTAAAGGAGGGTTTGAACCTCCAACCTTGTGGTTAACAGCCACACGCTCTAACCAACTAAGCTATTCCAGTACTTACATTGTCATGATTTTGCATCAGTACAAATTTATTTGCATTGCAATCAAACACAACCTAAAGTTCGGCTTAAAACTTTCATTTTTTTAAGAGAGAGAAAATAGAAGAAAACACGCTAGAAGGAGGGTTTGAACCTCCAACCTTGTGGTTAACAGCCACACGCTCTAACCAACTGAGCTATTCCAGCACTGCCATAATTTTGTATCAGTATAAATTTATTTGCATTGCAACCAAACACAACCTAAAGTTCGCCTCAAAAGTTTCATATACTCTCTAACCAACTAAACTATGCTAAAGTTTTTGCGTCAGTACAAATTTATTTGCATTGCAACCAAAACTTCGGCTTGAAATTTTCATTTTTAAAAGAGAAGAAGAAAATAGAAAAAAAGCACGCTAGAAGGAGGGCTTGAACCTCCGACCTTGTGGTTAACAGCCACACGCTCTAACCAACTGAGCTATTCCAGCACTATTAAAGTTTTGCATCAGTACAAATTTATTTGCATTGCCATCAAATACAACCAAAACTTCGGCTTGAAATTTTCATTTTTTAAAGAGAGGAAAAAAATAGAATAAAAACACGCTAGAAGAAAGGCTTGAACACCTCCGACCTTGTGGTTAACAGCTACACGCTCTAACCAACTGAACTATTCCTTTAGCAACCATACATCTACTATTCAAAACTCCAATGGTAGAAAACAAAGCACTCCTAACAGTACCCTATTTGAGATAGGATTCGCTGAACGCCATACCTGTTCAGAAGGCTATGGGACCAATTATAATTAGTCTTTTAACACATTGGACTCACAATCATTCAACCTCTAACTATGAATCACATGTATATATCACTAGAGTGGTGTGTAATCATTGGTTCCACAACCTGCTACACAGCGGATATGTTCAGCCAAACAATCCCAATTAGGTGATTAGAAACCATTGCCAGTCTCGTTGTAGTTCACTGATTAGTAATTAAGCTGTTTTGCAGCAAGCACAAGCTTTATCAACTGTTAAGGGTTACAAAGGGTATGGAGCTGAGCAAGGTAACAAGGTAATGCTATTGTGCTTGGACTGGTTTCTCCCTTTCTCCCTAGCTCTTTTATGTTTTGTCAGATTGTTCTATTGTCTCATACTAAATTACTTGCTTAACCATGCTTATTAACTGATCATAGATGGTATTATTGTGATGCTTATAGAATCCCTTCCCATTGAGGCTGTCAATGGGTTGGGTCAATCCAGGATCAAACCAATAAGAAAACACCAAAACCCTATTGAGCTTCTAAGTGATAGATGTATATATGATCTACTAAGGGAGGAATTGATAATGTATTCCATGGGTAGTGTCTGGTGTGGGTTTATTGAGGAAAAGCCTCCTCCGTGGAAGGAGCCAAAGTTTTTTCCCTTGACTTGCTAAAGTTGAAAATTCAATGTTACCTTAAACAAATGGCTAAGTTTAGGAGTGTTTATTTGAAAAATAAATGCTTAATTTTATTAAGTGTTCATGAGTGTTTGGTGAAAAAAATACTTATTTTAAACAGAAGTTATCAGTTATTGAATAAGCATATAGTTGGGCTTATTCCCCAAATGTAAATAGGCGCCTTATTAGTGTGGCCCTGGCCCAAAATAAGTGCTTATTCAAATAAGCACTTATTTTTAAGCACTCCCAAATCTAACTATGAAAATCAGTGTTTTCAAAACTGGGAACCTGTCACCTGACCAGTTCCGTTTTACCTCAAAACCATCTTTTGGCCAAAAATCATTGATTTGGTCAACGAACCGCTGACCCAAGAGGTCAAACCGTCGAACTGTCAATCTGGACAACACTTTTTGGCCATTTTTTTGTTTTTTTTTAATTTTTTTATATTTTTTGTCAAAACAGACTGTCCATTCGGACCAGATGGTCGGACCATTCAACCCGAGAACCAGAGCCCAAAACGGTTTCCTATCCGGTCCGGTTTTAAAAACCTTGATGACAATAGCCAATTGCAACCACTAACCAGTGCATTAGGCTCAGTTTAGAGGGACATACAAAATACATAATATTGCACTCTACATATTTGTATTTGCTCTCCTTCCTTATGTACAAAAGTAGTACTTAAAATGAGGTTAACTATGTAACATTTGTGCATAAGCTTATAGAATTAATGCCAATAAGAAGCCTAATATATAACTAGCGCTTTGAATTCATTTTCCAGTTTTTCGTTATAATTTTGCATATATTTTAATTCTTTCTTGGGTGGGTTTTATACAAGGATTGCTAACTTTCTTTCCCCATTGTACTACAGTCATTAAGGAAGGCAATTGCAGATGTGATTTACAGAGGTCTAAAGGTGAAGGACACAGAAATTTTCGTATCAGATGGTGCACAGTGCGACATTTCCCGCCTTCAGGTCCGGTGCTTGAGAATTTGGTGAACTGAACTTTGTTTCTTTTTATTTGCATTTGGGCTTGAGAAACATTTTGGTCTTATCCTGGAATTAGCTTCTAAAATTAAGCTGTACTTATTATATGATGAATGTCATCGCGTCCTGATTCACCAAACATCCTGATTTCTCTGCTTCCCATCGCAGCTGCTTCTGGGTTCCAATGTGACAATGGCCGTCCAAGACCCTTCATTTCCGGTAATCCAACTCTTCTTGCTTATAACATCATGCATTACTGTTTTTCCTTTGCCTTCTTTTTTCTGTATTATGAATTAATGGACACAGTAACAGATTACCACCCAATCCTCTCTCTCTCTCTCTCTCATGGATTTCTTGATGCAGGCATATATAGATTCGGGTGTTATAATTGGTCAAGCTGGAGAGCTTCAGGAGGAAACAGGGAAATACTGGAACATCGAGTACATGAAATGTGGGCCTCAGAACAATTTCTTTCCAGACTTGTCGACCACAGCAAGGACTGACATCATTTTCTTCTGCTCCCCAAATAACCCAACTGGTTATGCTGCGTCGAGAAAGCAGCTAGAGCAACTAGTGGAGTTCGCAAGAAAAAATGGATCAATCATCATATACGACTCTGCGTATGCCGCTTATATCTCAGATGATAGCCCAAGGTCTATCTTCGAAATTCCTGGGGCAAGAGAGGTACGACTGTGACTGTAACACAGCTTGTCACCCAAAGTCTCAGCCATGGAGAACTGAACCAGTCAAAGCCTTCTTTTGCCTCTCTAACAAAGCTTTGGTTGCCGTTTAGGTCGCAATTGAGGTCTCTTCCTTCTCCAAATTTGCTGGGTTCACCGGCGTCCGTCTCGGCTGGACAGTGGTTCCCGAGGAGCTGTGCTTTGCTAACGGCTTTCCTGTCATAAAAGATTTCAACCGCATTGTCTGCACCTGCTTCAATGGCGCATCCAACATTGCTCAGGCAGGGGGCCTGGCTTGCTTATCCCCTGAAGGTTCCATGGTGAGTCTCTCTAGATTCTCAGCTCATGGCTTCATATATGCTACATGGGCGTAGTTTATCTTGCTGAGAGCTTTCTGCCTGCAAAACTGTTTCAGGCTGTACGTGGCGTAATTGATTACTACAAGGAGAATGCAAGAATAATTCTGGATACATTTGCATCGCTGGGTTTGAAGGCATATGGTGGCAAAAATGCTCCTTACGTTTGGGTGCATTTCCCAGGTTCAAGCTCTTGGGATGTATTTGATGAGATTCTTGAGAAGACACACATCAGTACAGTTCCTGGGAGGGGATTCGGCCCTGGTGGTGAAGAGTATATCAGAGTTAGTGCATTTGGCCACAGAGAAAGCATCCTCGAAGCTTCAATGAGGCTGAAAAATCTGTTTAGATAAAACCCATTTTCACATCTTCGTTTTTGGGTCTATCAAAATGCTGACGATGTTAACCATTCAGGTTAATTTTAGTCTGGAATTCTGTCTACTTTCTTGTCGTTTCGTGTCATGTGAGTAGTAACTGTAACAAATAATGATCTCAAAGACCGGGAATAAGTTATTGGGAATCCCATGATTTCGGAATGAGAAGTCTCTTTCAGTGATCTTGTTGTGGTGGTGGCACATGGAGAGGGTTTCATAGTTACTGGGCAACCGTGAGGCAGGATTTCCTTCAAAGAGACGTTAAAGTAAGTTTTGCATCATCAAGTTTATCAGGCTTTAATTTAAGAGATAAATGTTCTGCAATCCACCTTAGAAATTTGAAATTGCAGCCCTTCGTAGAATAATAGTAGCCCTATAAAACGCATCTTGCCCGTGAATTTGGAGGATTCAGTCCACCTCTAGTGTGGAGCTAAGATTTCTAGGTGTAGAGGATATGTGGATTAGGCTAGTCCACACTTATAGTGGTATTCTCTAGGTACGGGATCCATACCACACTTTATGATTTCATATGTCTTATATACTTAATATGAAGTAATCTACACAGGCCATGATCACAATTGTTTAATTTGTATATTTTATATAATAAATAAATTGAAAAAAAGGCTTTGACAATTGAATATTAACTAAAAAAAGTATTAAATTCAATAAAAATGGTAATAAAATAATTTTAAAAAATAAAAATTATTATTTTATTGATAAAAATATTAAAAATAATATTTAAACAAGCAAATAACAAATTATTACAAGACAAACATAGCACCAAACTATTTATACAAACTAACAAACTTGTTTCTAACAAATCTAATGACATACCAGCGGTAGAGAGATTCGACGGAGGAGAGCTTCAGCGGAGCACAGCGACAGAGATCTTTGGTAGTGGAGACCTTCAACGGTAAAATGATGTTTAGGGTTTGCAGGATGTTGTGAAGCAGGGTAACAAAAACGAATCGTGGACCAACCCCATCCACGAGAAAATGCTGTTGACGATAATTTGGGGTGTAGACAGGGCCGGTTTATGATATAGTGTTGACTAGTCCCATCCATGACCAATCGAACGGGGAATTCATCCGGTGGCGTGGACCGAAACAATCCATCCACGAGATGAACACATTACCGAACACCACCTTAATTAGAAGTTCCACAGTGAAGATGTTGTTGGATGGTTCAGCTAGAAAAAAGTGGGTAGATATAATTCCTGATAATGAAAACCTATTCAAGGACTTCACCTAATAGCTTAAACTTCGATGTTGAAGGGTTTTTTAAGATGGCATGTTTGACAATATGGTCGAGTGTTCGATCTTTTTCACCTCCATTATAATTAATTAAAGTTCAACAACATAAGATGAGTGGGTCTGTGCTTGTCCATGCTACAAACATGAATTCACCTAAGGGGGCATATTGGAAAATAAAAACCTATTCAAAAACCTCACTGCTTAAGCTCAACCTAACAGAGCTTTATTTCGCTCCATCCTAGAAGTATGTAGTTCTGCCTTTTCACGGTGGATGTTCAAGCCACCTCATTTAGCAATCAAAAAGTTTCATCAAAACAAAAGGCATGGCTGAATCATCCACCATGAAAAAGTGGAAGTACATCCAAGAGCAAATTTTTTTTCAACCTAACAATTCCCATAATTCCATTCACGATATCCAAAGTATATAGCAAAATAAAAGAGTTATTTACTAAAACCTGCCCTATAGTTTGCAACCAATTTAGTTAATTAACCTTCCATTGAGAACCTATTTGTATTGGCATTTAGAAATGGCCACATGACCATCTAAACCGAGTTGAAAATGTTTAAGGGCATGGACCCATAATTGTTTATTTCAAAAATACCCTTAATACTTCATATCAAACTTTTAAAAATAAACAATATTTGGTTTCCAGATCTACCAAACAATGTTTGGTTCAGGGGAATGAAGAAAATGAAAGAACAATGGCATCCAGGTTCTTCATCTGTAACAGCTTACCTTCTTTGAACAAAGAACAAAACTAACAGAATAAATTGATTGTTTGCATTTTATTAGGAGCAAGACTAGTATTTTTATTTTTATTTTCTTTTGATTAAAATTTTCAAACAAACATTAAAGTTAAAAAATCATTTTCCACCTTGGTCTTATGAAAGGTCATTTAAGTAATCAGTTGCGAATTATAGGGGTATTCTAGTAAAATACAAAGTATAAATAGGTTATCTAAAGGGGTTTTTATAGTTTGGTTCACACTTAAGGTGGAGCTAGGATTTTTACAGGTGGACTGAATCCTGCCTGTTGATTGATGCCAAATTCACGGGCAGAATGCGGTTTATAGAGGAGAGGCCACTAATAGACTAGGAGGGAGCTGCAATTCAGATTTCTGAGGTGGATTGCAGTCCACTTATCCCTATATCTCTATAGTAAATCCAAGAGACCATAAGTTATTTTAGTAAATAACCCAAATAAAAAATAGTAAATAAAAAAGAAGCTCGGGCTTAGCACTCTAAAGGCTTGGGCCTGGTAGCTTATCAAATGATAAAGCCCGAAGTCCCATGAAGAGGCTCCGCTAGTGGATCCTCTTTGGGCTTGGCTTATGTTGGATAGCATCAGCATGGATGGTAAGAGAAAACTAATTTAATTTATTAAGCAGGGAAAGACTCATGTTTGAATCTTAAAAACCTAAGATTCATTTCGTTGGTGGGAGTAGGGTATGGAATCGGAATTGGAATAATCTATTCGTGTTCTAATTGTTTGATTGGACGGATTGAAACCTCATTCTCATTTTTGTTGGAATGGCATTCCCCGTTTAAAGGAATGGTCATTCTCTCCCCCTCCCTTGGGAATAAGGGTGTCAATAAAAATGTAAATAAATTGGATCAAATTCGAATCAGGGTATATTCAAATCTGATCCGACACTATTCATGTCAGATCCGATCTGATCCGAAAATCCAAACAAATTTGATAAGACTAGATTTGAATTTGAATCCTATCAGTAAGTTAGTTCTTCGAATCTGCTTTGATCCAACTTCTTTTCTTTAAAAATTAATAAAGCATTAAAAGAAAAATAAAATATACTGATTTAAATAAAGTAAAAACAAAAAATATAAGTATTTTTAACTATTTCCATCATATATATACATGCTTTTTATAAAAATATATTTATAAATAAATAAATAACATATATATGTATTATATATTTATATTTATAAATATATAATATATATCAGATTGGATCTTCTCGGATCGGATAGGGGTGATTCGAATCCAATCCAATTTCTAATCAGATCATATTATTCGATCCAATCCAATCCAAAGATTTGAGCAATGTGATCTGAACTCGACCAAATGGCATCAGATCTTGGACTAGATCATGATCCAATCCATTTGCACTCCTAGGTGTTAATGGACTGGTTTTAGACTTGACCCCATCCATTCCAAAATCAATTTGGATGGATTGGATGGACCAATAACACATATTGGATTGGACCAATCCAGTCCAAAATATTTATTAGATTGGATTGGACCTGATCCATTTGTAATAAATTTATATTGGATTGGGTTGGATTAAGCCAAAATCCTATCCATTAATATAAGATAAGAATATAGGTGTCAACGGACCAGGTTTGGGTTGAAACCAATCTAAACTAAAATAAATTTGAACATATTGGACCAGTCCAAAATGGTCTAAAATATTCATTGGATTGGATTAGACCTGGTTCATTTGTAATGGACTCACATTGGACTGAATCGGATTGGATCGAATCCAGTCTAATTGACACCCCTACTTAGGGAATGAGAAACCATTCTAGGGATGCAAACAGATCGGATTCGAATTAGGTATATTCAAATCCGATCCAACACTATTCATGTCGGATCCAATCCAATCTGAAGATCTGATCAGAACTAATAGGACTCAATCTAAATTCGGATCTTATTGGATCTTCAGATCTGATTTAAACCGACCTATTTTCTTTAAAAATAAAATATACCAATTTAAATAAAGAAAAAAACAAAAAAACAAATATTTTTTTTAATTATTTTCATCATATATACATGTTATTTATAAAAAAATAAAGAATATAACAAATTTATAAAAATACAATATAAATAATATATTTATAAATAAATAAATAACATATATATTATATAATATATAACACATCGGACCGAATCTTCTTGGATTGGATAAGTGGTGATCCGATTAATCCGATCCGACCCAAATAAGATCGGATCTCGAATCGGCGATCCATTTGCTCCCCTAATTCATTCCAAATCCATTCCAGGTGGGAGAAATAGACCATTCCAATTCTGACTATAAATTAAATGGACCCTTAATGTTACGCGTTCATGTAATCCACCAGACGATGGTCATGATCTTCTCCTCCTTCCACGGAGGTGAAGGTGTACTCGTCGGTGGATTGGGACGGACGAACGGACCCTTCATTGTGGTCCACTGCCAGTCGAGCGGCTCGAGCCATCTCAACTCAAACTGTCATTCTGTGGAACACAAAGGCGTAGTTAGATAGTAATGCGCTCAAGCTCAAGCAAAGCCAGCTAGGGGGCTGGGGCCCTATTTTTCCAAGCAAGTTGGACTTTGCTACTCCCTTATCTTGGTAGGTCAACATCAAGGTGACTGGCCGGTAGCATATAAAAACTGAATGAATGCCACTCATCTTTTGAGGCTGAGGCATGTTTTTAGCCTCGAATTGGAAGCTAAAAGGCCGACAGGCGTGATTGACGGACAAAGAACGCCCTTGCTACTTGTTACAACCCCTAAAACGCACCCAACCTCGTCGTGGGTGTCACATACATATGTTTTTTTATGTAGTCGATTCAGAGATTCATCAAGAAACAAGATCGAACTGATGATCCGATTTTTCAATAAACCTATTTTTTTAATTGATCGGATTATGTTAGGGTTAATAAAATTAGGGAAAATGACCGATAATTTTAGGGTCAGAATTTGAATTTATAGGCTTAAAGTACATTTAGGATAAGTGTCGGTTCGGAATTAATGCCAATTCACAGATAAATATGAGTGCATAGAGTGTGGTTTTTTTGACCTTCTAAATGTTTATAATTTTGCAGTGGAAATCAAAAATCTGAATTAGGCCTGTCCATACTTTTCCGATAAAATTATTAGTCGGAATCCATATGATGCACAG